AACGGCCCAATATTTGCCGCTTGAGGTCCCGTATAGACAGTGGCAGCCGGGGGCCGGCCCGTCGATCTCGGGCTATGAGGACGGCTGGTAGCTTGTAGCGCCTCATGAGTCAAGGGCAGAAGTGGATGGGTACACGAGTTGCCCTGGTTGACACAGTTGTTGCAGAATCCCCAGTCTCCCTCGTTGCATACGTCGCAACGCCAGTAACAGTCGTTTGTCCAGGCGAAGCACCGAGCGCAGAACGTTCCTGTTTCCAACCTGCCTCTCGGATCATCTGTTGTCAACGTCTTCCTCCCATCAGCACCGCCAGGCGTCGATGGAGGCGGCAAATATCGACATGCTGTGAGCATATGTGGCTTGGCTAAAGAATCATCGCCCTTCTGTCGCAAATTCTCCCACTTCTTCCACGCCCCATAGCCAAATCCGAACCAATATTGGCATCCCTTGCCGGCTCGATAGCAGTCGAGGCAGATGTTCCACTGCCCGCCCGTGCATATGCCGCAGTTATAGTGCAATTCGTATTCTATGTGCTGCTTGTTGCATTTTGCGCACGAGATGGACGGTTCAGGGAACAGCTGCGACTTTGTTCGCCGATGACCTGAAGTAGCACTCGGGCTGCTCATGGGGCTGGAAACAGCGGAGTGAACAATGGCCAACTCCGCCGGTAGATGGGGTCTGCTGATTTGTGCTGCAGGCAGCTCATGCGTTGTTGCCGGCGAAGGATCAGCTATATTAGGGTTCCATTGAGGCACTCGGTTAGCAAATGATGCAATGTTACTATTACTGGATGCTGACGCTGGCAGCTCAACGGGCGCCTGTGAAGAAGCCGGTACTGATGGAGTACTGGAACTACGACCCTCACTGAAACTGTGCCGAGGTGCAGTGGGATCCGATGTTCGGGATCGTAGTCCCAAGTCGGTGGAGGATCGAGCAGCAGGACGAGTCTCTGCTGTTGACGAAAAGACGGGTGTCGTGGCACTACGGCCCCCGCTAGCAGTCCTCCGTCGTGGTCGTCTCGCAGCATCTCTCACTTCAAGGTTGGTTGACCCAGTTGGAGGCGGCCTACTCCTGTCCTCGGCCTGGCCGCCTCCATTAGTTGACCTTGAGCTGGCGCGGGATCTGGAACCGCCTTCCGGTGCCCTCAATCTTGCGTCAGTCTGAGCCCCCTCTGAGTTCCTAGAAGCTGCGTTGTTGTTGCTTGAAGTGGGCTGGCGGGAAGATTCGTTGCGAGATCGTTCCCTTTGCCGACGCCTATATGCCTCGGTGATACGCCTGCTCAAGTCGTCATCCCGGGACAAATCAATATTGTCCAAATCAAGCCCATCTAGAAGACCCTCCTCTTGGATCTGTCTAGCAAAATCTTCGATTTCTCTCTCAATATCCCTTTCGCTCATCTCCGATGATCCAATCAATGATCTTAGGGATGTTTGGTGCTCAACTTGACGCTGGCGGCTGACACTTCGGCGCCGTCTTCTCCGCTGCTCTCTGTCACTGGCACTGTGATCTGAGCTCGGACGACTGGAGTCATCGCTACGAGAATTCCTTGCTGTGTGCTCGGTTCCTCGACGGCGAGAGCTCGAGCTCTGGTCCCTGCTTGATCTTGATCTCCCGTCGACAGATTGAGTTTGCCTTTGTCTTCGGCGTCTGTCTCGTTGAGACAGCCCCCCTGGTGTCGCCTCGCGCAGGCTCATTTCTCGAACTTCGTCTATCAGACGGCGATCCTCCTCGTCCGCTCTTCTCTCTTCTGCAGTCCGCTCTCGAGTATTTATTTTTGGCAACACCTGGTCCCCTGGCTTATATTTTGCTTGCATTTCCTCCTTGTCGACATCAGACCGTGCCTTGGCGGGATTTGCGGCCACGTACATATCGAGCAAGGTGACAACTGTGGCATTGTGCCTCGTATCCCGTACTGGGCTGCGACATGACGGGCAAGTGAATATGGCCTCTCCTGGCGCTGGCGGCGTGGGTGCTTTCTCAGCCTTTGCAGCTTGGAAGCGAAACCACTCTTTCAAGCACGCTCCGCAAAAGGTATGAAGGCAATCAAGCAAGGTCAAAGGCTGGTATAGGAGCTCCGTGCAGATCTGTTGGGAGATGACAAGTCAGCTAACGACAGACTCTTGACTTTGAAGGCGGAGGCAGAGTCGGACCTACCGAGCACGTCAGCTCCTTCTCCAGATCCAGGCTGGGCTTTCGAGAATCCATTCATGTTACAGGAACCGAGTGAAGAGCCAGGACTTCCGACTCTGTGAGGTACGGCTTAGAGGGAGAAGGAGGTTTCCCCAGACTATCCCGTGGAGTGAGGATAAGCCGCCTTGTCGCGTTGTGGCAGCAAGAGTGACAGCAAAGAGGCTTGCTTGCTGACATCTGGACATGGAGGCTTGCTGCAGGTTCTCAGCGGGGCCATTGGCTGAGTTTGCGCTGCGTCTTGGCCGACCCCACGGCAGCGACCAACAGCCCAACACACACGACTCATGACGGAACGAGCCATCTATTCGCTACCTAGGGTAGTCAATACGGGGTCGTGCTAAGAATAGCTTCCCGGTGTGCCGCTTAATACTAGTACTAGGGAGGGTTTATTTGGCGATGGGTAGTGGATACGATACGGCTTTGGTAACCCGGCCTCTAAGAGCGACAATGTAGACATGGATGGCACTGACTTGTGGCTGCTTCGAACACCAGCTGCGGTTGATGAACGAGTGGTACCATTCAGATAATCAGCTTCACACGAATCATTACAAATTTGGCCTCGGCGGCAATCAAAATGTTGGCCTTCACAAAATGTGCTCCCAGTAAAGTGACCAACGAACTGGCGGCTATATTGTCTCACACACATGACGGTCCAGCTTCCTCCTTTTCAAAATACTGCCTAAGAGTGAGTCCACTCGGCCTTGGTCTTCTCCGCAAAGGCCTTCATGCCAATCTTCTGGTCTTGGCTGCCAAACAAGCTGTGGAAGACACGTCGCTCAAACTCGACACCGTCTCGTAGACCAAGGTCCTGGCTTTTGTTGACAACCTCCTTGCACGCCTGGACGGCAACCTTGGAGTATCCGGCAATGGTCTCGGCAGTCTTGAGCGTCTCCTCCATCAAGGCCTCGTAGGTTGGGAAAGTTCTGGCGGCGACACCCCACCTCTCGGCTTCAGCGCCAGAGAAGGACTTGCCCGTCAGAATAAGCTCCATGGCCTTGGATTTGCCGATGGCTCGGGTCAGGCGTTGGCTGCCACCAGCACCGGGAATGGTGCCAAGCTTGATCTCGGGCTGTCCGAAGTTGGCCTTGTCCGTGCAGTAGATGAGGTCGCACATCATGGCAAGCTCGCAGCCTCCGCCGAGGGCGTGGCCGGAGACGGCAGCAATGATGGGCTTCTTAATCTGTGTCGTCAGGAGAGACCATGACTCGATGAAGGACTTGGTATAGGCTTCGGAGAAAGTCAGAGGAGCCATTTCCTTGATGTCGGCGCCGGCAGCGAAGGCCCTCTCGGAGCCGGTGAGGACAATGACGGACGTTTCATCTGAAGCATTGAACTCGTTGAGAGCCTCGTTGAGCTCGTTGATCAGTGGGGTGCAGAGGGCATTGAGGGCCTTGGGTCGGTTGAGCGTGACTGTCCAGTTATTACAATTAAGCATCAATCAGCGGCCAGGCTACGCAGGCTCTCTTGGGGACCATGTACCTTGGCCGACGCCGGGTTTGGGAGTAGACGTCTGGATGTACTCGAAAGACTTGGAGCTATACGCGCGAACCACGCGAGGCAAGGTTGAGCGCTGGAACGGCACCCGAGCCGCAATGGGTCTGACGAACCGAACAGTGTTCATTGTAGCGACAAGCGACAACGCGAGCCTGAATGTTTGGAAGGGCGAATCAGTGTTTGTTGGATGCGAATGCGGATGAGGGAGGAGCTGCCAATTGATTCAAGTGCAATGAGGTCAAATTGACCGGATGGAGGGTTGAGGCCCAGGGTGGCATGAAGATGAAGCTCTGGGGCGAGGGAAAGCGTCGGCTTTGAACCGAGGATAAGAACGGTTGTCGTCGCAGATGAATGCTGTCGGTGGGGCTCCGAGCTCCAAGTTTGCCAAGCTGTAGTGGGTCCAGATGCCAAGAGACCAGACATTTCGGCACTGACACTGTGAGATCTTCCTGCCGCAACCAGACATTGATCAGCAACATCTTTTCTTTCAAGTGATCGAGGTCCCTTGGAAAGGTAGCCCATTCGGTGTCTGGAATGTTCTGATTTGGTTAGTGTTTTTGACCCGGCTGTGATGTGGTTGAAATGCTTGGATTCGCAGAAGATGGGAACTTGGTAATTATACAGCCAAAGCATTCAAATCTGATAACCCGCTGGCCCACTCATTCACGTCGTTCATAGTTTCTCACTCAACTTACCACTACCTCCGAGTACCTACCTTCCTAGGTACTTGGTAGACCATTCCTAGCAGGTAGATTCTAACGCGATTATTCTCTTATTTATAGAGACTGCGTCGCTGAATTCCCCCATAGATGGTATGTGAAATCGACATGAGAGAGCAGTTACTTGCTTCTTTCGGAGCTTTAACGAGATGGATGGCTTGGTCCAGAGACATCTTACGGACTACTTGAAAAATTCTGCGTGTTAGTGCATTTATTAATTTGAATAACACCCTTTACTTCACTTCTTACTCACCTTCAGTTCACGTTTGAGTTTGGAATCACTGACAGCTGGCAGAACTTCTAGGCTCTTCTGCGATTTTCCTCGTTTACCTCTTTAAAATCTTTACCTCCTTTAAATCTTTCCTTCTTTCAAACCTTTCCCTTAGTTCCATCCTAAACTTCCTTACTTTTCTCTCAGGAAACAGCTCCCAGGCACCATTTGCGTCCCCCACAAGTTACATTCGTCCGACTCAACACTTTGACCTTTCCAAAATCGCCCAGAATCATTGCGGAAGTATCGTAGGTCTCATTTTTGATTGTCTACTCGTATCGCGTAACTTACTGAGCCGCCAGATCTCTCTTTCACGGCCTTACGAAACAATGCCTCCTTCACTTTCCGATTTGGATGATACAGAAGCATCTCTGTCAAACAGGGTCTCCGCCCCTCCTTTGATTGACTGTCTACCTCTGCACGTTGTGTCTGAGATCTGCGATAATATCCTGGGTGATATTGGATACTTGCAAAAGCTCGGACATCTTCCATCCTACTGGAAATTCCGCCTGACCGATAATTTTGGAATCCGTTTAGAAGGCCTAAATTTCGAAGAAAAAGCAGCGGGTTTGGCAGCCGAGCATCGCGGGAAGCCAAGGGAGCATCACGAGGAAGATCTACGTCGTTTGAGATATTTAATTGAAGCCGTGTTCAATAGACCACGTATTTGCCATTGTGCTTTTACCGGGGTTGAAAAAACACTTAAAGATCTCTTACGTCTTGCTGAGAATTCGCCAACCTTGTACTGCCGTGATCTTGGTGAGCTCTTTTTGAAGAAAGCACACCAGGAATATGCGAAAGACATCAAAACAGCCAGAAATCTCCTCGGTGAGATTCATGGCGGGTCTTTTTGGGGGGATAAAAATGTCGCCGAAGCTACCTTTCCAAATGTGATGGCGCGACTGCTTGGCTGTGACCGCCAAACATTTGAGCCGGCCAATGTCTTTGACGAAATCGGGGCTATAAGTCCTAATATATTGAGCGATATTCTTATCATCAGAAGCTGCAATGAGCCTGATTCAATTGACTATGCAGATCTTATAGATGTAGCTGTCGCTGCACGGAGCTTGGAGAGGAAACTGGATGAAATCGACCGCGGGCTTCAGCACGCCATCGGGCTCTATTTTCCTACATCGGACGACAATTAGACGACGGTATTGTTTGTCAGCCTTGATTTACTGCGTTAGAGAAGTTTGACGCAGAGGAGTTGTTTACGGGAAACGGTACTTTCAGAAACCACCAAGGTGGTAAATCTACAGAAGGCTTGAGGGAAAGGCGCACCGCTCTGTTTGGGGAAAGACATACTGGGAGAATTACAGATGATATCGGGCGGCACCTGCAACTAATAACACGCATCAAGTCTGAAAAATTAAATCAGACAGGCTCTTCTGGCATTTGTTCTATGGTTGCCAGCTCGATAAAGACAATCGGATTGATCGTTTTGCTTGGGAAGATTAGCCAATACAATGGCACAGAAACTACTACTTTGTGTTTTCGCAATTGCTTAGCTAGAAAATAACCTCACGAAATAAAACGAGTCCAGCACCACTTTCCGCAGGTACTAATGACGTAAGAAATGTCGATCAAACTGTTCTTCTATATGGGATTGATGTCTATACCTATAGTCCCCCAACTCCTTACAGTCCAAACTTCAGAACCTCGAAATGTCCCTCCCAAAAATCCAGGTAATCACCCAGTACACCGGAATCATAATCTTATTCCGCACACTCATGCTCCTCGTCAAGTACGCCGTGCGCCAAAGAACCCAGGCGGCCCACCCCCTCAAATTATCAGCCTCGCTCTGGTGAATCGCTCGCCAGCTCCCCAAATACGTCATCACACCCCAGTTCTTAAACTTGAACGGCTTCGAGGCTTCCTTGTCACCCCTGTTGAGCTGCTTGGCCAGATAGACTGCCTGCTGAGCCGCGACCTGCGCCGTGGCAGGGTAACTCGCGCCCTGGACAGAAGTACAATCGCCCACGGCGTACACGTCCTTGAGTGTGGTCGTCTCTGAGCCATCCCCGGCACCCTGCAGCTGGACCTGGAGGTTCGGGTTGGTGACGATGCCGCCCGTCCGGGGATCCTTTGCAATCTTGCCGACCCCCTCAATGTCAGACTCGACGAGGGTCTTGACCAGCGGGTTCTGCATGAGCCCCGTGCTCCAGACGACGATGCCGGCGCCAACCTCCTCTGGTTCCTCCTTGATCTGCAGCATCAGGACGTGTCCTTGTCGGCGGATGCGGGTGAGGTGGTGCTCTGTCTTGACCCGGATGCCCTGTCGCTTGAACGTCTCGGTCGCATACGCGGCCAGCTTACTGTCAAACATGGGGAGCACCTTTGGCGCGATGTCATAGACGGTAATGGCGCAGTGCTTCTGCAGCTTGGGATACATCCTCGACAAGTCGTCCTTGATCAAGTCGTGCAGCTCTGCGGCAAACTCGATGCCTGTCGGACCGCCGCCCACGACGGCAAAATGCAACAGCTTCTTGCGCTCCTCATCGCTCGTAGTCGGCAGGTCCGCCGTCTCAAACGCCTGCAGGACCTGCAGTCGGATAGCCCGCGCATCGCCTACGTCTCTCAAGAAATTGGCGTGCTCTTTGACGCCCTCGATGCCAAAGGTCTGGCTGTAGCAGCCCACGGCAATGACGAGCTTGTCGTACTTGACGTCGAATTCCTCCCCTTTGATCTCGGGCCTGTTGGTGGCGGCACTGACGTCTCCACGCAAGTTGGCCTCGACGCGGATGGTCTTATTTTTGAAGTCGATGCTGGAGGCCCATGCTTGGTGGAACTCGTCGAGCCCCAGCCGACGAACAGGCTCAATGGCCGCGCGAAACTCGAGGGTCCCTACGGATGTTGACGCGAGGAGAGGGGTGAATGCGAAGTGGGATCGAGGGGAGATGAGGATGCGTGTGGTTTTGGAAGGGGAGAGGGTGCGCGCGGCGGCGTAGCCTGCCCAGCCAGAACCGAGAATAACGACTCTTTCTTTGGTACTTGGGGCTGGTATGCATTAGCTACATTGTCTCGTCCTGGAGGTTGCAAGCGGTGCCGTGGACAACGAAACCTACCATTGGTAGTAGCAAGTGTTGAAGCATGCCGTCTGGATATCGCATGAGCTGCAGCTCGAGGCACATGCGTCGAGAGCTTCATCAACGACCGGCACTGTATGCGAGTAAGGCCGTCCATGATTCCCTATGCTGTAAGAAACATCCAGCTGAGTAGTCCAGGTCAAGATAGATTCAAGATTGGGATGGAGATGAGGGCGAGTCATATTTTAATTTCTTCCTGACCTAGCTCGGAGCTCGGAATGACATCAGCCTTATCGCACAAACTCAAACTCAATCCACATGTGAGTGGACCTCAGCAACAGTGAGCACCAGGAACAGTCAGTCATCAGTCAGTCAGCCACCAGCATTGCACCCAATTGCATTATGGCTGATTACGGGAATTGTCGCAGCCATGGAAACGGGGGCTTGAACAACATTATTTTGCGTCCAGCCGATCAAGAACGGACCGGTTGGGAGAGGCAATGGAGACGATAATAGCTCGGGGAGAGAAAAAGGTGGCGGCACATGCACTGGTGGGTACAGGCCGTCTTTATCGCTACAGTATGAATACAGTGTAGAGCCGGCTGCATCACACTAAATATTCCTCCATAACAGGTATGTGGGGCGTAAACACAGTGCGCCGCCGTTGATGCAAGTAGTGACCAGCACAGTTGCTAAAGAAACATTAAGCTGAGACGCACCATGCAGAGCTTATAACGGCTGCAAACATTTGCAAGGATGAATTCAAGTAAAGCACCGGTTTTTCCGGATCTAAAAGTAATCCATGAAAATAAGTACCAAGATTCTACGCAAAGATGGCGCGTACAAGTTATTTCTTCCTGAGCAACCACTCCCACGTCAGCTCACATGAAATCACTTCCAATGTAGATCCTGGCTACGAAAAGTCCACTCTGTTGTAATTCAACAAATCAAGAAAATGGCAGCACATAACAAGAAGGCATGGGGCCAATTCTCTGAATTTCGAATTTCATAAACCAGCTCCGCCAACTCACATTCCCTCGCCTACTGTTCCCTCTCCGGCTCCCGCTCCGTGCCATCACCATACCAATACATCTTCGAAAACCTAAACATATCCAACAAATCATCATCGTTCTTCACCGCCAGCCGTAAATGCAATGGACCGGTGCCGCTCACCATACAATCTCTCCTGTAATTATCCGCCAGCTCCAACAACTCGGAAACCAAGTACGCGACGACCGCCACCAGCCCGGCAATAAACTCGCCATCTCTGGCCAAGTTGCCATCTCCACAACGAAGCGCAAGAAACCTTTGAATCCTCTCCCCGACTGCAACTCCATCATACCCTTCAATGGATCTGGAGTTGGGCCTCGTCATGGCTGCGTACATTTGCCCGTCGATAGACTGCAGAGTTTCATAGTTTGGGAATAGAGACGCTGCTATTGAGCAGGTGGTAGCTTGGGCAGAGGACGCAGGGACCATGACCTTCTCGAGATAACTCATTAAGACGTTATTCAGAAGCGCCACGATTGCATCCTTCAACGGCTCCGGAAACTCGGGGTGGCCAACACCCTCCGGAAGCTGGAGAGCAAGCCGAAGGGCATCCACATCCGCGGCGTGAAGAATATGCTCGTTTGCATCATAAGGTCCCAAGCACTCGGCCTCGGGCGGTATCCTGTGAACCATATCAAACAACTTGATCTGTTCATGTAACTCGTCCAGCCCGTCAAGTTTGCACCCCTCTCTTAATTGCCGATGAAACTTTTCCTCGCTCGACTCCCCCAACGCCTCAACCCTCAACGTGCGCTCCATCCCAGCAAATGTCGTCTGTGTGAAGCGTGTATCTATAGAGAACCACAGGAACGATCTTGCAGCCGTGCGGTCGTCGTTGAAACCGAAGCGGCCAAACATGTATTCCGACTCAATGGTCATCCATAGCCCATGTGTCTGATTCGCCCTCTTGTGAGCCCTCACACCTTTCCACTTCTCAATGTACTCCTCCGCATGGCCGTAGTCAACAAGACCAACATGTTCTCCATACACGTACGTATCCTCGCTCTCGTTCGCTTCCTCCTCAGTGTCAGCCACATTTTCCCGACAGCGGTAGTCGTAATAGCCCCAGTCATATCGATTAATGGGGAGCACCCCCTCGGCCACGGTATTTTCATCAAGGAATCGACTTCCACTGCCGTCTTCATGAGGTGCTCCGGAGACACGAAGAATCTTGTCAATCTCCGTCTCCAGGTTGACGTGGGAGTGACACACAAACCAGGCCGCGACTTCGTTCGTCCTGTTGTCCATGAGCTGATAGGCCAGCCAGGTGCCGTTTTGAGCAGCGATATTGAAGTGCACGAGCTGGCATAGGACTGTCCCACCCGTCTCGCGCTCGAGTGCACTGGGAAACGGCTGGATAGGCATAGACTTTCCGTGCCACATATTGTGGAGGTGCCCGTAGCATAGGCATCCTGACGAGACGGTGAATTGGGAATGAACTTGGGGCTTAGAGGTCATTGTAGTAGTAGGGGGCGAAATGGCTGCACTTGGAACATATTTAAGCGCACAAGGTTGAACGTGTTTATAGACCCCTTGTGATGCTGAGTTGGCAAATCTGTCTATTCGAGATGCTGCATAACGGCGGACTAAGGATCCAGATGTCAAGAATTGGCGGTGGGTCAACTATTATCACAGGGGGGCTGCTGCCTGGCCTAAGCGTCCACTGGTTCCTTCCGTATTTAACTGGTATCTGACTTGATAGCTTTTCATCTTTCTTTAGCTAGTCCCTGCTGGAGTCTAAACGGCATGTAAGTGGAAATAAGACATCGGATTTCGAGAATCTCGAAGCAAAGAAAAAAAAGGCCCATAAAATTATTACTCAGGTTGCAAGGAAGTGCAGGATTGTGTGTCGAGATAATACACAGTGAGAGCCGATTAAACATTGACTGTAAATTAGCGGCCGCCGAACCCGAGTTACACTGTGCTCCGTTTACAGCACGGAGCACCTGCGCAATGTCGTGTCGGGGGCGTCGGTGCTTCGGGCATGCCCTGCCGCCGCGGATGCCGACAGACTAGCGCCGGGAGTCAGGACCAGCCCCGCAGGCCGCTGCTGTTCCAGTATTGGCGGGTTCCGAAGTCTCCCGTTCGCCCTACTGATGTGTATGCAAAATAGACTTGAAATCGGACACAAAGTAGGATCCCGAGGCTGTCAAGTGCATTCCAACTTCAGATGCACCGAGGATAACCCACGTTGCCGCCGCCGCTTTGTTAGCTTGCAAAGACGAAACGTCAGAAACATCCCATAATAGACATCAATTCATTTCAGTTCAGTGAATCAAAGATTTTTCCATAGTTAGGTTATTTAAAGACGCCATTGCCACCGTACTTCTATTGTGCGAGGTTACGCTCAGAGACTCACTCACTTTGCCAACATAAGACTCGCTGTTTCAGCTTCCCGGGCCACAGGAGCAGCCGCCACGGATGCTTCACATACCAATCGCTGTATCAATCAACGGCAAGCAAGAAAGGCTTCTACAATGAACGCTTGCGGCATCAAATATCCATTGCGGGGATTCACATGAGATCGACAGCACGTCACAAGCTGCCAGCCACATGCTGATACAGATCCATTCAGGAACCCCTCTTGGGTTCCCATGCCCACAACGATAAGGTGTGTGTATATGCGAACATATGAATTTTTTTACTCCAAGATACATTTCAGACTCCGGCATTTCATCTTCAATCAGCGTCAACATCCGTAAGCCAATTAACATGCTACTACTGCAGCATGCTGTCCAGGCTCTCGCCCATTACGGCTTCAATTTTCACAATCCATCGATGCGTTTCCCTCTCCACAACCTCGTCGTCGTCTTCCTGTAACTCGCTGATGCGGGGCAACATCTCATGCAGCATCAATAGCCACTCCTCTCCCAGTCGATCCGTCAATGCCTGCTGACATTTGACTGCTGCTAGTCGGACCGCCGTCTGCTCTGATTTGAGGTGCTTCATGAGAGCAGCATTGATTTCCTTTTGGTGTGCTTGCGAGTCGGCAGCAGCAGCTAATTCCACAACGGCTGGAATCAACCGCTCAGACACATCTACAGAGCCGGCCTGGAGAAATTGGTCCATGAAGACAGGAGCGATGGCCCCAAAGTGGGATGGAGCTTGCCAAAAGTCGTCCTGATCATGTTCAAAGCAGGTTGCCAGAACCTGCAATACCCGACTCCACAGCTGCCGGTCCTCAACTGACTTGGGGTTCACAGCTCCAAGAATCTTGGCTGCATCGTCAATCACGTATGTGGCATAGTTTGTGACGATTGACTTCAAGTTTCCGAAGAATGCATTGAGAAAGCCGTAGACGCTATATTGCCGGAGGGTTCGTCCAGACTCATCACTCTTGGGAAGATTAGAGCTTGTCCATTCCACGATTTGTACAAACAAGGGCCGGAATGCGGCGTCGTTGAGTTTATAAATCATCTTGAGGGACGCCTCATTCAGGCTCGTTTCGATGTCGGCAACTTCGCGCAGAGATGCCTCGCTCTTCTCGCCCTTGGCATCGACTTGGCGACGTAGGTCAAAAGCCTTGACTAGGATGTTAGACAGCACTGATATGTTCTTTGTAATGCTAGACTTGTTGTGCTTGTCAATTGCAGTGGAAAGAACCGTGAAAAATTCATGAATGGCCTGCAGCATGAGGTTAGCCACTGTTCTGTGGCACGGCGTCGGCGTACTTACAGAGAACCCGGCATCAGTGGCCTTTTCCCAATTGCGCTCCAGCGCAGTAAAGACTTCTTTTGCCTCCAGCTTCTTGGCGAGGAATTCCAGACAGCTTGTCCGGCTCTCATTGACCTCGCCATCTAGGCCAGCTTCGGCTGATCGACTGGACACCTCAAGAATCTTGTCAAGATACGTGGACAACATGTACGGGAGATGCTCCGCTAGAGAGCTGATGAAACCGTAGCATGCGGAGTGAAGCTCTCCGTCAGCGTTCTCGCCCTCCAGACTGGCCTCAAGATACTTGACGGCCTCTGGGATGGCAATAGGCAATACCGGAACAACGGCATCCTGCAACACATCAACAAGCGATGTCAAGCATAGCAGAGCCATGACACGTAGGCGCTGTTCCTCTTGACCCAGGCAGTGTTGGCCAGCAATCGTTTCAGCCGCGGCGACGACAGCCTCGACATCCTTCTTGCCATACTTTTCTGCAATCTTGTCTACACAGGTAACCGCAGTATGCTTATAGCGTATGTCGCTTGATTCCCGAATGGCAGCCGTGAGCTGGGGCAAGAATGACAGCAGAGCATTCCTGGAAGCGGGATCAGTGTTACTTTCCGTCTCAACCCGAACCTCGAGGGCACGCAGGACCTTTTGCCGCAAACCCAGATCAGGTCGGTCCAGCAGGTTCTCCACTGCCTTGATGAATTCTCCAATAGATAGCAGGTTGAGCAAGTTGGACAGCGCAGATCCACATCGTCCGTGTAGCGTCCTGTTCGTCTTGACGGTGTCGGCCAAAATGAGAATGTTCTCGAGCAAGGTGGCATAAAACTCTCGCACTTCCGCTGTGTCCATATCCTCCCGATCAGCGAGTTTTCCAATTTGAGATCGCAATTTTTTGTTGGCCAAAAAGCTAGGGAGTGCCGAAAGTTGCCGAAGGGCAACCTTTTCGACGTCTTTATCCCCATCGTCAGTGATCCCTAGTAGGACAAATGACATGCCGGGTTTGGGCTTGAATAGATCGGACACGAGCTCCACGACTTTGACGAAGGTTTCCAATTGCGTTTTTATGTCAAAGTTGTTCAAGAGGTCAACAATGAAGGATAAGAGTGCTTCGCTGGTGTCGTAACGGTCGACCAGCATGCTGATAAGGGCAAAGAGAAAATCTCGAGGTCCCAGAGTTTCGACTAGAGCCACGAACAAGCCTTGTCGTCTGTGAGATGGGATGTGCTCGTAGGCGGTTGTGAAGCTGACAAGAATGTCCGAAGCACCAGCAACAGGCCCGTTTTTCCCATGACGAAGAGACTCGATCAAGGGGGGCACAACCTCCTTGATAGTTTGAGAGACTACATGTGCAGAATAGTCATCGCTTTGTCGCAGCACAGACGTCCCCATAAAGGTGAAGATGGGCATGACGCTGTGAAGAACAAGATTGGGGGCGGTGGTGGCAAGATTGGCAACCAACAAGAGTGCGGCGTTTTGGACTACAGGACTGGACGACTTCTGGATGCAGTTAACAAGCAAATCACCGTAGCCGCCAGAACTATCAATTGTCAATGCCTTGTCAGCCTTGTAAGTCGGCATCATGGCCAACAGACTACGAAGAATCAAGTTCTGCAGATAACCAAGCTCTGAACCAACGACTGTTCTAAAGTGTTGCAGTTCTGACAGAGCTGTGAAGAGGCCATCCAGTAACTCGGGATGCGAAACCGGGTCCGAGTTATCAACAAGCTGTAAGACAAAGGTAACTTTACGCAGTGCTTGGCTTAGCTCCGGTGTCACATGAGTGATGAGGCTTCGACTGACATCCGCAGAGCTTGTGCGGCGGCGCTTGTTTGGAGGCGGCTCCGTGATCATCTTGGTTCCAGTCTGGATAGAATCAAGGAAGAAGGATAAAATGTCGGTGGTTAGGGGGACCGCCCGAAGTAACTCGGCGGCTTCTATTGAAACGATTGAGCTTTCGTCGTCTGAAGAAGAGGGTGACTCTTGCGAGATTTCCAGGAGCTGCTCTGCCACCATGAACTTAACAGAGTCTTTCATGGAGGGCCACATCTTTCGCAAGCGGCCGAAAATGGCTCGCGTGAGGTCTGCCTTTTCTCTTTGAGCAGGGTCCTTGAGCAACTTAAAGAGAAACTCGAGACCCTCAGTGTCATTGGGCACGACAACATCAACGAACCGAGAGTCCAGAGTCAAAATATCTTGTTTCTCTGCAGTGCATCGCCTTCGGATCTCTGATTCACTCAGACTTGTCCACCAGTTCAGCAACGGTAACAACATCCGTGTTCGGGGCGTGTTTCCAACACCCTTAACCTCGTTCAAAGATTTCAAAAGCCTGTTTTTGACCAGTATCAAAGGCGTCAATTGGGCATGAGAAGCAAAATATGACAGTATTTCCAGTCTAGCCGATTGGCCCATATGATCTTTTTTGTCCAAGCCTGGTTGAGGAGCAACTTGGTATTTGCCTTGCTCAATGACCGACTTGAGAATTGATGTAATGTGCTCAGGGTCCATAACACACTCCTCGATGCTAGGAAGAAGTTGCAAGTGCAGCATCTTTGCAGTTACATCGACAGGAAGAGGCTTGTTATCCTTGGCCTCGCCGTAGAGTAAGCCGGAGTCCCAAGTCATCATTGACTTGGCTGAGATGGGGGGCGTGTATAGGTCAGTGACCACGGCGATGAGCTCGGCAGCCGCTTGCCGAACTCGTTTTGAGGGATCGCTCAGAGCCGTTACTGCGTACGGAATAAGAGCTTGCACGTCCATCTTGCTTGCATCGCTAGACTTGAGCCTATTCTTGACCA